AAGATTTATGTGCAAGTTGCTGCTGCTGCTGCTGCTTCAAATGTAATTTACAGACAGAGGCTGTGTGAATTTATGCCGGCCCAAAGCCAGAACCGGGCCTGGCCCTGGCCCGAACCGCAGATCCAGACGCTGTCTGAGCGTTTTTTAAAAATCTCTGACGGTAACAAAAATCAAATAAACTTGCATATGAATTTCATATAAATAATGTTCTCAGCGGAAAATACTTTCAAATTGATGCAATTACGGATGGGAGGGCGGGTTTGGTGGGTTTGGCGGGTTTGGCGGGTTTTGACGGAAACTGATTACCAAAACATGTTGGCGGCGTCTGAAATTGTCTAGTTTTCGCTGTGTGTTTCTGTCAAATGTCATGAACCGCGGCGGTGCTGCGCTGAGCCTCTCAGACTTCACTCAGGCTTCAGTTGATGGCCCAGACATCCCAGACATGCGCTCGCACTTCAAAACTGACATTTGGACTTTTTTCCCAGGGCCCACCCACAGGCCATGGCCATGCCCTCCATCCCCCTCGCCAACCCCATACCAAGCACTGGCATGCCGCTGCCACTGGCTTGCTCTACGTTTTCGTTCCTTTTTTTTTTGGTTTGGTACGCTTTGACTCCATTTTCGTTATCCTTTTTAGATATTCATATTTTGCCATTGATGATATTTTCACTACTTTCGTATGCATTACACGTACGGCATCCACACACATACACACGCACACACCGACCCGCTCTATGTCTGTATCTTTCCTACCGATGTGTGTGTGTGTGGAGTGGGTCCTGAGGGGTGCTGCCTTTTTTTGGGGCGCGTATTAACTCTACCCGGCCGTGTGCGTTCGTCCTGTGTCTGTGTCTGTCTCTCTCTGGCTCTATGTGTGTGTGTGTGTGTGTGTGTGAAATTTGCATATTTTTTGACTTAACACATCCTTCAAAAATTGCGAAACGCGTTTGCGATAGCTTTGGCATTTCCTTGACGTCTTTCCGCTTCTCTCTCTCTTACAGCATTTTTCCTTTACTTTTTGTCGGTGGGGTTTTATTCCTGCTTTCTTTTTGCTATCTTTTCGAGTCGCTTTGGGGGGTCTGAAAATAGTTCAAAAGTTAAATACATTAAAGGGAAAGTGAGAGACGCTTTAAAATGTATTTCAGCTCTCCCTCTCTGTCTCTCTTTCTCTCTCTCTCTCTGTTGATGGGACTCTCGTGTATGGGGCCAGAATTGAATTGGGCCTTATCCCCCCAGTGGCCTGGACTGACTGGACATTTCTGTGTGTGTGTGTGTGTTTTCTGTCTCTCATGTAAATTGATTTCACAGTCACTTTAAATAGGTTTTTTCGCGTGGTATTTAAATTTCATTTCGAGTCGAGAATGCAGCCACAGGATGTGGGGCCTTGTGTGGGGATTGCTAGATGCTCTCAAGACAAGTGGCGCTAATCCTTGACTTTGCTGCTAATGCACGTCGTATGTCAAACACCAAAAACGTTTACTCCCCATGCCCCCCAACTGCTGCAAGCCAACCCGCACAAGTAACGCAATTTATATGCCTTTTTCAGTGGCTGCTCCTTCTGCTGCTGCTGCTGGAGCTGCTGCTCAGCCTCTGTTTGTCTTGGCAGAGCGTCTTGTTCGTCGTCTCTGTCGTCTCCCCCTCTGCCGCTTTGTATGCCATGCATTTTTCTGCACTTTTGACTTTTAAGCGTGCACTTGGCCAAGGCTCTGACTGCTTGCATGCTCCTGCTCCTGCTGCTGCTGCCGCTGTCGCTGCATCTCCATGGCAGAGCTCGTTTTCTGTACGCGTTGTTTGTCTTAAGGGATATGTATGCTTCCCTGCATCCCAGACTCACTCTCTCTCTCTCTCTCTCTCACTCTGCTGCTGCAGCATTCTGCCGCAGGCATTTTGATAAGAAAAACAAACAGGAAAAACACACACACACATACACACACATACATTAACTCGTACTCGTACTCTCGCACAGTCGAGCTCAGGCTCTCTCAAGTGTCATTTATGCGTTTTAATGCTGGGGGAATTTAATTTTCAAATTAAGTAAATAAGTTTGTGTAAAAACTTGTGTGTGGATCTTCTTCTTATGGAGGAGCCGCTGCACAAAAGCCCTCCCCCCCCCACCACCCCGTCCCCCTGGCTGCTCATTTTGGTTGCAGCAGTAATAAACTTTTTGCATTGACAGTTTTCGCAGGAAAAAAGGCACAAAGAGCGAGTATAAACTGTAGGATACTTAACGGCACAAGAGACACTTGAAACATAAGAAAAACGATTTTGTATGTACTTGTGTATGTACTCGCAGCAAGGTTACCCTTTTATAAGGAATATCCTTTACATTTGCATTATCCGCCTCTCTCTTATTTTTATTTGATTTAAAATTGATTCTTTGAGCAGAACTCCTTCACAGTTTCTTTTGACTTACAGAGACAGAGACAGAGAGAGAGATAGAGAGACTTGATTCCGCTTTGGCTCTCAGATGCTCATCTAACTGCACATAATGGCCGAGATACAATGGCGACGCGTCCTCGCTTTGAAGTAATTTCGATACGTTTATAGATTGCTTTTTCGTTCCCCACATCCCCCTATCAGCAGCAGCAGCAGCGGCAGCAGCAGCAGCAACAGCAGTAGAGGAGCCATTCGGCTTTTGGCATTTCCGGGCAATTTTCTTCGGCTCCCATTGGCTATTGTATCCAATTTGCAATTATGTTTCAATCAATTTTATTGCCATCTAATCTGCGGAACAAAATAGATTGCTTTTTTTTTACCGGGGATCATAGCGAAACCATCACCTGCTCCCGGGGCAACCCAAGACAAGGATACTACTCCACGTACAAGTGTAAGAGGATACGATTTTAAATTCCAATTGCGAGAGCATTGGACCAGCGACTATTTATGCTACTTGACGTCTCTGCACTGTGCACTCTGCCCTGTGGGTCCTGGTCAATTGTCACTTTGTCTTGTTAGGCTCAAGTGCGGAATAAATTGGAATAGCACCCGTAAATGGCGTTGCTTGTTAGACGTTTTGCCATGTATGCCGTGTGCCGTGTGCCGTGTGCAGTGCTAACAAGACTTAAAAGTCACACAAATCCCCGCTTGGAGACTCATTACGGAGGCATCCATTCATTCCCCATGTGTTTGTGTGTGTGCTTGTGTGCATCCAGCCGGGAGACATGACAGCCGGGAGGCGTAGAGACATCGCCTGCATGCGGGTAATTGGCTCTGGACTCGGGGACTCTCGGTCGGTCCAGCTGCCTGCCACCGCAACTATTTTCGTAACAAAATAAGAGCCCCCAGCTGGTGAAAGGGAGCAAAAAACTACATTTTAGCCTATTTTGATACTCTATTTTGGAATACAGAAAAAAACGTTTGGTAAAATATAGAAAAATGCAGATACAGAAGCTCTTGCTTTTATATGAGTCGCTATTGTATTATCTCTGCTCCTCTTACGCACAAAAAAAAAAAGCGCTCGTAGTATCTTCGCTTTATTGCTCTCTCAGCAACAACTACAAAAATAAGCTTCTACCTTTGTCTCCCCGATTTGAAGCTGCTCCGAGTTCTGCATTTACTATATGAGTCGCAATAGCTCCCTCACGATCATGTCCGATCATGTTCATTTACTTTGAGAGCTGCGCTACAAACTTGCTCCCTCAGCTACAGCAATCCGCCACCCTGGGCTGCGACAACGACGCTCTCTCTCAGGTCTTGCTCTCAGAAAATGAAATAGACTTGCATTAAGCTTAAGCAACGGGACTTTAATGCTGCATACCTTCTATCCGTGATTATTTCTCTGTCAGCAACAATAACAACGACTTTCGCTTTCAGTTTTTTCTATCTCTCTCTCTCTCTGCATGTCTGTTTCTATGCAAACGAAAAAGTCTTCTTATCTCGTTGATCTCGCTGCTGCTGCTGGTGCGTTTGCCGATTGCCTCTTAAAGCAGTCTTAAAACGAGAGAGATAGTAAGAAATTACAAGACCTTCAGTATCCAAATTTTTGGACCATCGATTTACTGATTCTGCCTCTATTAATAATAGCAATAATCGCAAACAATCGCTAACCCAAATATATTTAAATATCTGCTGCCACTTAAACCGAAGCTCAAAACTGCGTTCCATTGTGAGGTCAGGCACCGATTACATACCGTCTGGTCGGCGGCAGGGACCCAAATTGCATTCGGCAAAACATTTATCATCAATTAATAGCATTAGTAAATGTTTGCCCTAAAATTTCACCGTACCGAAACGTATTATTGTTTATAAATGCAATGCCATAAATAATACCCAAAAATACTACCGTTGATTGTGTGCACACACACAGACACACACACTCGTACGAGTGCGAATGGAGCGCATTGAATGCTGTGAAATTTATGGCACATTTTAAATTCAATTGGAAATTGTGCGTTCTCTGCTGGTGCGGGATATTTATTTTTTAAGCCATGGCCATGCATGGCCAGAGCGTCAGCAAATATTGCTATTAATTCTTAATAATAATAGTAATAAAAGGAAAATACCCAGTGTCCCAGTGCCTGTCTGCACGACGAATGATGACTGCCGCTCCACTAAGGACTGCATTTTATTTATGGAATTGCATTTTGCACAACATACTCGTATTATTGTTTTTAAATTTATTTATTAAAATATTTTTCATTTGGCGGCTTAAGAGAAAATTTATATGTAAAGCCTTTACGCCCCCATTCCGTTTTTCGCGAATACCTTGAAATACGTTTTTATAAATTATTGCAGAATGTGCCACAGTGGGCCGGGTCTTGGGTGGTGTTTTTGCGGCTGCATTTAAATAGCTGCGTGCTTTATTTAATTACACACAAACGCCGCAGGCAACAGCGGCCGGAGCAGCATGAGCAGCATGTGGCGTCCAGGGTATTTTAATTAATCTGAAATCATGAAAATGAGCCAGGAATGGCAGATATAGTACATACTTGCGGGTATGATAACTATCAAGTGAGCCTTGACAAATACGTTTGAGGTATGAAAGGAACCCTTCAAAATACAATTTCCTTAGTCAAATAGAACCACACCAGACTTCAATCGACTTCAACTTCAATTCGAAATTTAAACAGAAATAACTAAAACTTTTTGTTGTTTTCCACAACTGCAACCATGTTCTGCGATTGGTTGAATGAAATGCAACGCTTCCTGCACTGGGGACCCGTGACTGTCTTCGGTTTGATGGTCTGCGTGATCGGGACAACCGTCCACTTGAATGCGATGTGGTGGCCGCCGGAGGAGTCGCTCTACGCTGCCATCAACTACGTTATGATTGCGGTCCTCAATCTGGTCACCCTGTATAACTTTGGCATGGCGATTGTGGTGGGACCCGGCCTCCTGCCAAGGCACTGGCAGCCCACAGATCCCGAGGACGAGCAGTTCCTGCAGTACTGCAAGGTGTGCGAGGGATACAAGGCACCGCGGGCCCATCACTGCCGCCGCTGCAATCGCTGTGTGATGCGGATGGACCACCACTGTCCGTGGATCAACAACTGCATCGGATGGGCCAACCAGGCGAACTTCTTCTACTTCCTGTTCTTCTTTATGCTCGGCAGCATTCAGTCGGGCGTGATCATCGGCTGCTCCTTCTACGAGGGCATCTATCGCCGGGCAATGCTGAAGCAGGGCAATAGCGACGGGATCCGAGTCGTGTTGACCCTGCACAGTGCCATGGCATGCCTCTACAGCCTGGGCGTTGTGGTGGGCGTGTTCCTGGCCACGCTGAAGCTCATGCAGCTGCAGATCAAGGCGATATTGTGGAACCGCAGCGAGATCGAGTCCTGGATCGTGAAGAAGGCCGAGTTCCGTCGCTACCTGAATGGCGTGAATGGCCGGCCCATTCCCATATTCGACTACCCGTACGACTTGGGCGTTTGGCGGAACATCCAGGAGATTTTCAATGGCTGCGGCGACGGCATCAGTTGGCCCGTTCGCCCCGGCTGCGATCAGTACACTCTGACGCGCGAGCAGCTGGCCCAGAAGCTGGAGAAGCGGGCCCGCACCCGCACCTACAGGTGCATCGCACCGGCCACCGGCTACTGGCTGCCCATCGTCTCCCAGGGCCTAATGGTCACCGTGTGCCTGCCGTGCGCCGACGATCCACGCATTGTCCTGCAAGTTGGGGATCTCGTGCAGGTGACTCGCATCCGGGACTATTGGCTCTACGGCGAACGGGTGCTCTCCACGCAGGAGCAGAAGCTGCACAAGAAGCACCAGCTCAAGGGGCACATACGCGGCTGGTTTCCGCGCTGCTGTGCCGTCGAGTTGGTGGAAGATGGGGACGGCGAAGGAGGACTGGTTGACCAGTCTGCTGGCGACACTGTGGCTGTCCATCAGCAGAAAAAGACCAAGGCAAAGAAGCGGCGTCCCAAGTCCCACAATTAAAGGGTATTTGGCGGTGCGACTAGCGGCTGTTTTACTGCTGGTCAACCAAGGCATTAATCTCTTAATACTTAATACTTAATGCTTAATAATATATTGTACAAATGAATAAATACTTGCCGCGGGGGGTGGGGAGCGGCGGCGAGGCATGCACCAACAAGCCAAATGCATAAGCGAATATTAATGCGAATCGATCGGTTTGAATTCGATTTCCACTCGCACTCGCACTCGTATTCTATGCTGATATCAGACTCGATTTCATGCCACATTTGCTTAAATATGACAGCGAACAGCTGCTTGCAACGGCAGTGGCAGTGGCAGCAGCCACACAGAGTCACACAGTTTGCCTCCTGTTGAAAGGCCCTGACTGGGGCTTTCACTCGTGCCAAGTAATTTGCAATGCTCCATTGACTTATTTTTTCTATTTTTTAGCTAGGCGAAAGCAAGGCATATCCGTGACAGGAAACAGGAAAACACACACACAGCCGGGCAGGCAGACATGTGAAATGAAAAGCAAAGTTGCAGCAAGGACGAAAGGCAAGGGAGGTTGGCGGAGTACTGGGGCAACGAGAATCAATTGAAATGCACGACGAACGACCGGCAAAAGTTGAGCTGAGTCGCGCGCGGATTTGCCATTGTACTATAAATAAATACAACTCCTACGCTGTATATCTATCCGCGACTGGTGTGCCTGGGTGTGTAATGCAGGTGCACAGGCAAATACCCGTTTTGTGTTGGATGTTATTCAGCCTTGTGTAAGGCAATCGCAAACAAAGGCTGAATGCACATGCATTTCTCCGCAGCTGCCAATGCAAATGAATCATTAGCGCGGGCGCGGGCAGAGAGCTTGCTTTATTTAATTGAAAGCCTGTCCAAATTCGAAATGAATACTGGGGCTAATGGAAACAGACATTCAGTCATTCATGCATTCATTCATACAATCAATTGACATTTCTGAGATCAACAAACAATGAATGGGGGGGGCTGGGGGCATCGCTTGGGGAAATTACACTTGCAGACACACACAGAGATAGGGAAACTTGAGGCCCATGCCCATGTCTTGTCCAGGACTCGAGTGTCCTCCTCTGCGACTGCGTGTTTAGCTCAAAATTAGATAAATGCAATTTTGGAATTTGTGTGTGTAAATTGTAGGAAATGTGCCGCTGGGAAATCAGTTGTCGTTGTGTCATGAGTTAATAGGCGCTGGGAATTGTCGAGTGTGAAGGAGTGGGTGGTTGGTGGCAGGGCCCTACCCCCCCCCCCCCTTCATACGCTTATGACAGCACGGCCTGGTATGATGATAATTCAATGCAAAAGAGCGAACGAGTAAATAAATATTTGCACAAAGTGCTGTTGAGGCGCATGGGAGCGTAAAGCAGGGACAGGATAGGACAGGAAAGGACAGGACAGAGCTTTAAAGCATTCGTGTCCTGGAGGGGATTTGTGTGTGAGTTTCTAGAAAGCAGCAACAACTCTACACGCCTCCCCCTGGGATGCGCCATCCTCATTCTGTGCTTCTCTGTGTTTGGGAGTCATTTGGGTGACGGCGTGGAAAATGCAAAACAAATAATCGCTTCTGGCCAAAAAGGGAAAATCAATAGAAAAAAGGATTTTCTTTGTTTTTTTAACTGGACTCTCTCTCTCGTACCCTCTTTGTCTCTCTCTCTCTCTCTGTCTCTGGAGGAATCGAGGTTACAGCAGCAGCAGCGGCAGCGGCGAAAAGTATGCAGCATAAAAATAGCCATTAATAAATCTGCGTAAAAATAAAACATGTGCCAACAGCACAGCCATAAACATAAACAATGCAACTTTCTTTCCTTCTGTCTGCCTGTCTGCCTGTCTGTCTGCTGCTCCTACTGCTAGATATACCCACTAATCGGAGGGGTATCCAAGGGTATGCCAGCACGCGAAGAAAGAATGTCTGCTAATGTCCAAAGCCGCAAAAGACTCTCTTAAATCCAGGCATGCATTGACTGTACTTACAGGGTATCTCTATAGTCGAAAGCTCTAGCATTTTGCACTCGAAACTTGTTTTTATTTTGGCGTTTTATAAAGCGGAAACCGAAATAAATTTTACATAAACATTTGCCACATAACAAAAGGCACACAAACTTTAATGACTTTTGTCGTTGCAAAATAATTGTGCGTGAATTTTTTTGCTGTTGTTGTTGTTGTCCACTGTCCCGCGGGGGAGCCCAACAACAAATCCGCTGAAGAAGGAACAAAAAAAGGAACGGAACGGACTGGAATGGAATAGATGGTTGGGACAGTTGCCAGGAATCGCTTTCAGGGTCCTGCTGGCATTTAATTTCACGGACTGTCGTCCATTTTATGCTTTGGCAACACTTTCTGCCAGCCCCCCGTCCTTCGGTTGGTTCCTTTGGTTTTTCCGTGATTGGAAGTTGATACTCTCGTGTCGTTTAATCAGAAGGCAGGCAGAAATCGCTTTAAGGATGATGCTGCTGCTGCTGCTGATGCTGCTGCTGCTCCTTTGTCTCTTCTGGCAATTATGTGCACTATATACAGCATTTATCTGCTCCAACAATGAGACAAGTACTGAAAGGAGAGGTAATCTCTCTTGCTCTCTCTGTCGCTCTGTCGTACGAGTACCGAGTGTCGCTTACAGTCTGGCAGGCAGAACAAAGGCAATTATGGCATCATTAGGACGAGCCGAGAGGTAGGCAGTCAGAAATTGCATTGGCAGGAAGCACTTATCCCATATCGGTATCAGAGTGTCCCTCGAGTGGATAAAAGCTGCAGCACCACAGGGGATTCCTTTCGTATAATCTCTGTGAAGCTTTCTGCTCAGCTTTAAAGACCAGTCCAAAGTGCAGATCCAATCAGAAACTTTCCATACAAGATCGACGATGCGTGGTGGCATAGATTTCTGCCACAAAACATGACAATTTACTGCCCCTCCACGTTTTGGCATGCTATAAATTTTGGCGAAAATTCATATTGAATGCTGCTGCCTCTCCACCATTCATGTTTCGCTTCATGCTCATCGCTCACTCGCCCATCGTCCATCAGGCCATCAGCCATCGCGCGCATTCAATCAATTCCAATGGCAAACGTGCAACAAATTGTACGATTTTCGCATTCTTGCCTCTAGGCCCTGGACCTTTGCTGCGAATTTTCGTTATTAATTTGCGCCTGCTCTCGCTCGATCATTGAATGGTGGTGGCGGGCCTCGCCACCAACTAAATTTCAAGTTGATGAAAGTGCATTTTGGGTTGCTCTGCCTCTGCCTGTGCCGCTTCTCCTTCCCTTTTTTTTTTTTTGTGTACAAGTTTCTTGGAAGTCATCCTCTTCGGCGGTCTTTGAGGCTTCTATTTATTTATGACTCTCTGGCTGGCCAAAGCGAAAGCAAAGTAATTTTTCATTATTTAAAATGAAGTGAATTGCAGTCCGTCTCCTTTTCCAGCTCCATCTGCGTCCGGTAGTTTCTATTTCTGTTGCCTTGGTGGCCTTGGTGCCTTGCCTTTGCCCAGTCATTCTTCATAAATAATTTATTAATTATAAAAGTTTTTGGCACTCTCTGGGCGCATGCAAATGTTGTGTGCAGCCCCTGCTCCGCCATCTTTCAGTGTGGCAACAGTTGCAAGTGAAAGTTGCATTGGGTGGCCAAATATAGTCCCACAAAAATATTACTTGCAATGTCCCAATTTTACGACTTGTGCCAGCAAAACTTTTTATTAGTTTGGGCGCTGCTGCTGCCTCTGCTGCTGCTGCTGCTGCTTCGGACTGGACTGTTTGTCCATCTCCAACTTCATTTTGAACTCCATCTCTCTGTCTCACTGTCGTCTCACTGTGAATGGATTTTCGGGCGGTGAGGGATATTTTTCATATTTTAATTGACAAAACTTTTGGCCAACTGAATAGCTGAAGAACTGATGGGTTTTTGGCTTAGTTTTATGTTATTCTACACTAATCAAACATTGGCTGCTGGCAGAAGATGCACAGCGTGCCATCCATCCATCCATTCATCCATCCTCTGTCTATGCTTTCAGGTTTTCCATTTCAAGTTTTTCCACTTAATTGAGAGAATGGAAAACGACAGGAAATATATGTACAAATGCATATACATATACACACACACTTTAAGTGGCAGCCAATTTAATGGCGTGGCAAGGGCGGCAGGGAATGCATTTCGTGAGTCATGTTTGATGCATGTGGCAAGAAGCGAACCGAAAACATTGCCATCAACACAGCAACAGCAAGAGCAACAGAATCAGAATTCTTGTGGCAGTCGCGCACTCAAATTGTCGCAGGAAACTCGGAGGCAGCTCCCCACTCTCTATCTGTGTGTGTGTGTGTGTGTGTGGTGTGTGCATCTCAGGGTTTATGTCTAAATATGCAAATAACTGTTACAGCAGACAGGGCAGGGCGACAAGGACTTGCTGTGGGGCATGTGCCACCCGGCTGATGTCTCTGAATGTCTCATAAATTCGTGATTAATGTCGCCTTGCCCCGAAAGCCCCTGCCATTCCGATTCCCATGCCTTGCCTTGCCATGCCACTGCTTTGATGCCGCATACGAAATCAGGGTTTTAATGCAGCTGCCACTTAAGCGTTGCATTTAGTTGTCTAGATCCCATGCAGCATTAATGACTCCAAGATGGAAGATGTCTCTGCTATTATTGGCTTAGACTCAGAGACCGACCCCCTCCCCATTCCCATTCCCATCTCCATTCCCATCCCTATCCACTCTCCCTAGACACTCCTTCATATTTCGTCTTTCGTTAATGTGTCAGACTAACGAAATTAACATTAAATTTAAGCCGTGACTAACTCAATTTGCTGAAAGGCAGAACCTGCTTCTGAGGAGCTGCTTCCTTCCATGCGTGTGTGAGGCCAGGGCACAAAAGACACTGATTGTCGTCGACAGACACCTAATGATGGCCACACAAAACCTATTTACAGAGACACAATGTCACCCCTTCCCATGCCCCTAGGGCAGCTGGGTACCTGATTCGAGCCTGGCTCATTCGCCTATCACTTACCTCATTAAGCTGCAAGTAATTAAAGTGCTTTTGCATGTGGACTGCCCGCTGCCTGCTGCCACTGCCTCATCGATAATTAGTTTCTCTGTTCGCAAAGCAAAAAAACACCAACACAAAATGAATAATAATAATAATAATAGTAATAACAATAATG